TAACAACAGCTTTCTTTCACATTTTTATCTTTTAATATTCAGAGTTTGCTTTTATATGCTGCTATTAGCTATTAGTTTGGCACGTCACTCCTGGCTGCCAAGACAGAGGAACATTTCTCTTTATAACCTGGTCAAACCTCAAAGTCTGGGTAAGCACCCAAAGGGATCAATGTTTATTTACAGCTTCCACAAAGCATTTATGGGGGGGGGGGGGAAATCTGCTAATTTAAAAGGTAGAAGACAACCGTGACACAACTCAGTGCTTTCTATTTCTAGGAAGGCCAGAAATACTGTAATGTCTGCCAAAATATTTCTCCTCCTTCTATGAACTGTCAGAACCAAGAGTTTGGAGAGATACAATTTAAAAAAAAAAAAAAAAAGAAGAGGAGCTAGATTTTCCTACGCATTTCTGCAGTAGTTCTGGTTCAATGTGAATTTTAGACAGATCTCTGGAAGGGGAAGAGATTCCTATTTTATCTGAACACATTCATCCATATCATGCATTCATTCTTACAGCACCCATCAGCACAGCAGCAGCAGGTTTCAGTTTCCAAAACTCAACGCAATTCAAAATTACACACAATCTCCACTAAAACTACCAGTGATGCAGTTACACATTAGCATCCCTTCTCTGAAGAAATCTCTGTCTCCAAATCCCAGAAAAGAAAAATTTGTTTACAAGCTAAGCAAGTAATCTTGATTCAAATCCTGAAGCTTGTCAAAACTAGGATCTCCTAAACTACCAATAAGAAACTAATTTCAAAAGAGGGAACTCCCAATTCAAGTCATTGCTGCTGAAGTCCTGGTCCCTTTTATCTAGCTTCCTAGCAAATTTGTTCTGAAATATTACAAACATCTTGAAAGAGAAATTAAAAGGAATAATGGCTGAAGGAGGTCTCCTTGACGGGACCAAAGCATCAGACTGTATAGGATTATCCGACTTTTGGCCACTAATTACAAAGCCAACAAAGTTCCTGAACTCAGCATTACATGAAGCTGAAAAGCTTACTGTGTAAAAGATTAAGAGAAAAATATTATACTTGCAGATAACGAGGACAACTGAATGGAACCAGGTTACTATTGCTCAGTGGAGAGGTTGAAAATTCACTCCTCAAATATCACCTCTAAAAACAACAGACAAATTTTGTTATCCTTCTAACAAGCTGTTGTAATGCTAGACTGGGATAAAACAGATCATGCTGCCCTCTTGTGCCAGACGTGCACAGAAATCAAACCCTTTATTCCTGCAAGTGACACATGAAGAGGAATATATAAAGCATTCACTATGAAGTAGAAAATGTCCACATTTTCTTCCTTACAGACACCTGGACATGCATGCAATTCCCTTACTGGGATATGAATAGAAGAGCAAAGGAAGTTTCAAGAGAGTCAAATTCTACACTCCAAAAAATAAAAAAGTTCTGTCAACAAACGCAGACAAGTCAGATGTGATAAAGCCCAAAATACAACCACTTAATCTCTAACTTCCCATCAAGCTTTCACTATAGCTGTTTAAGCGATGCTGTATAGATATCTGCTGATAAATTTGAATTTCATAAATATCTGATTATTCTTTCTGAATGCTGGATAACACAATAAGATTTAGTCACTTAGGATTATCAGCTCAATAGGGTTAGGTTAAGTGCTTAAGAAAGAAAGAGACAGTCATTTATTAATAAGGTTCTTTCAATGCAAGACATACTTAAAGCAGTAACATCTAACTATTTCTAGATCTATGCCAAATTACACAAAGGTGAAATCTGTGTACATACAAATATATTTGGGTGGGAAGGGAAAAAGGAGAGGGGTCCTCATATTCCTTTTCTGTCTCTGCTATGTAATCAAATTCTTGTATCTTCTGGGTAAGATGCTCGTTACTGTTCCCTTTACAACCTTCCCCTCCCTATATATTGCTAACGCAATCTGTAAAGAGAGATCTTGGGCTCATGCCTAAATTGATTCACAAAGCATAATTTTTTTAGAAATAAGTCATCTCATTTATTTACCATGACTGATTGGAACTACACTGTTGGGAGCTGACAGACATGTCATGATTCACCACGTATTTCCATTTCCTAATGTCGACTCCTTGATGCTGCTCATTAGTCTGTTTCCCCAGTAAGAACTACTGAGAGCTTGGGATGTCTATTTAAGTTTCCTTCCTCGACTTTGGAACATGGATCACCGTGTGTTCAAAACACTGGCCATGGCAGTTTTTAATTGCTAATTATTTTTGGATAAATAAAACAGCAAAAGTCAGTTCAGCAATTGCTTCTGCTAAGGTCTTAGAGACCTCACACAAATACTGAGAACATGCTGGATGCTTAAATGGCAGATCTGACACTGCAATATCAGCTTTGCTAATATGGAATATGATAACTAATAGTTTGGCTTGGCTATTACAATCACAACTGTAGAAAAAGGAGCCTTTAATAATTTCAATTTCTTTTTAGTGTGTCTCTCATAGCAAGGCATATTAAAAAAAGAAAGAAAAAAAAAAGAAAGAAAAAAGAAGAAAAAAGAGAAAAGAAAAAGAAGAAAAGAGAAAAGAAAAAGAAGAAAAGAGAAAAGAAAAAGAAGAAAAGAGAAAAGAGAAAAGAAAAAGAAGAAAAGAGAAAAGAGAAAAGAGAAAAGAGAAAAAAAGAGAAAAGAGAAAAGAGAAAAGAGAAAAAAAGAGAAAAGAGAAGAGAGAAGAAGAGAGAAGAGAGAAGAGAGAAGAGAGAAGAGAGAAGAGAGAAGAGAGAAGAGAGAAGAGAGAAGAGAGAAGAGAGAAGAGAGAAGAGAGAAGAGAGAAGAGAGAAGAGAGAAGAGAGAAGAGAGAAGAGAGAAGAGAGAAGAGAGAAGAGAGAAGAGAGAAGAGAGAAGAGAGAAGAGAGAAGAGAGAAGAGAGAAGAGAGAAGAGAGAAGAGAGAAGAGAGAAGAGAGAAGAGAGAAGAGAGAAGAGAGAAGAGAGAAGAGAGAAGAGAGAAGAGAGAAGAGAGAAGAGAGAAGAGAGAAGAGAGAAGAGAGAAGAGAGAAGAGAGAAGAGAGAAGAGAGAAGAGAGAAGAGAGAAGAGAGAAGAGAGAAGAGAGAAGAGAGAAGAGAGAAGAGAGAAGAGAGAAGAGAGAAGAGAGAAGAGAGAAGAGAGAAGAGAGAAGAGAGAAGAGAGAAGAGAGAAGAGAGAAGAGAGAAGAGAGAAGAGAGAAGAGAGAAGAGAGAAGAGAGAAGAGAGAAGAGAGAAGAGAGAAGAGAGAAGAGAGAAGAGAGAAGAGAGAAGAGAGAAGAGAGAAGAGAGAAGAGAGAAGAGAGAAGAGAGAAGAGAGAAGAGAAGGGGAAAAAAAAAAAAGAAAAAAAGACTTCTACTCAAACAAATCTCACCCCAATGCAAAAAAATAGCACCTGAAGTTCTAAAAAATAAATACACAGTAAAAAGCATGTAAATCAGACAAAGAATCATAGATGTTGAAAACAGAATTTCAGAACTGCTACATGCTGCAGTGCTGAACAAGAGCATCATCTCAGATATCACCTTTTCCCTTTTCTTTCTTCCGTTTTCAAAAGATGCATAGATCAGAACAGCAGTACCTTTGCATGCTACCGTGACCAAAAGAAAGATGAAAGGAAAGAAATATATGCACACTGACGTTAATCTGTTATAAAATATCTGCTGATAAATAGAAACACACATCTGTAAGTCACGACAGTGTGTGAATACCAGCGATAGGCAGGTTTTACGAATGTCATTTTTACAAAGCACTGCTAATTTGAGCTTCACAGTATGTTACAAAGCAAACTGCTATTTATTACCCTACATTGTCCCTGATGTTTACTCTGTAGTTCTTAGTTTGTTATGATGAGCCAGGTTTATGGGCATTCTTACAAGGTGATTATGTATTCCCTCAAAAATACAGTTATTGCACACACACACACAAAAAAAAAAAAAAAAGAGAGAGAGAGAGAGAGAGAGAAGAGGAATACCCCTGCCTATCTGACAACAAACCCCATCAGTACTATGATTTCTTCTGATGTACGTGCTCTCACTAGCTCTCCACTAACCTGCCTCCTGAGCTTATGGCTTCACTTCTAATCCTTTGCAGTGGCCTTGAATTTACACTACCACAGACTCACAGTACAAGTAGACTACATAACACAGCCTTAAACTTCTGCAGTTGTGTATTTTTTTTTTTTAGAGAGGAAGTTGTAGATGTTTCGTTCATCATATTATGGACACGAACCTTTTCTCCACATGAGTATTTTTTTCCCGAAAATATTACTAATTTATGTGAAACAATAAAGCCATCCCTATATACCCTTACAATCATTAAACGGCTTCTGGAACTATGAGAACAAGCCTATGTTCCTTTTCTTCAAGGGAGTGAAGACCATCAGATTTCTGTTTCTCATGCAAGACTGGCTAGTAAATCAGTACCACCCCACTTCCCCACTCTCTTCACTCTGCTCCAGCTTCTCTCTCGTTTCTTCTGAAGAACATAAGGATCTGGATTACTGTTTTAAATTGCATGCTTTATGCTTTTGTGTATTCTCGAAGGATAGTAAGCTACACAGTTTCTCAAAACTGTGAATTACCACACATGCTTAAAATTATTTTTTAAAAGGGCTAATAATTGTTGGGATTAAGCTTTCAAAGAAAAGCACAACAAATGTATCCCCACAAAATGCATACATATACATTCAGCATATGGAAGATACCCCTGTGTAACTGAATCAGGACAGCAATGCAACCAGCAGGTCAATGTACAACACCAAAGCCACAGGTAATTCATTTTTCTGTAGTCTGCATTTGAAGAGAGTGAGATCAACCATCAATAATCAGCCAACATTCTGACTTTTAAATTTAAAAAGACAACACTGTTAAACTTAAAGATTTTAAGTAAAAGAAGCAAAAAAACCCCACAAGTGTGCAAAAATACTGTAAAATTGTAATTGCCCAGAAATAGTACAGTTAACATAATCAATGAGGTACATTAAATGTTAAAGGGTTTTCTACTGTTAAACTTACCTATAGGATTTCTGTCAAAAAACAAGACAGGAGCTTTCAAAATGGATTGAAACATTTTGTTGTGCAAAGTCTGACCAGAATTAACAAGAACTTGAAACACCAGAAGACTTCTTATTACGCCAAACAGTATTGTAGCCACCGTTAAACCTGAAATTAAAAAAACACGGACAGAGTTTGCATACAGATATGGATCTTTCACCAGGGAAAGAATTTAAAAATAAAACTGAACTAAAACTAAATTTTGTTGACTTCTGTATATAACAAGAATCCAAACTTAAATGTAAAGTCTCAGACTGAGCACAGAACATAGGTATCTTATATTTGTTACCAGCTTCCGTTACTATCACATCATCTATTTAAACAATTTATCTTTTTCGGTTTGAAAGAATTGGTACTTTATAGAAATGTAGGAAATGTCTGTTAACCCATGAAATAAACCTGTATTAAAACCATCTGCATAACAGCTCTGCTAAGAAATTCATTTCACAGTGCCATGGATAATTGTGGCTTGCAGAGGTCACTGTGAAGATTCAACATTTGCCAGCAGGTATTAACCAAGTAATATATACATGGCTATTTAGAGACAACCTTGAGTTATTCTCAATCAGCCCAAACCACTCATGCCATTCTTCCCCTTGATGTAAACCACATCAAATCATTTAAATTATGTGTATTTCTTTAACACGGTATAAGATGCATCCCTTATGCCATGTGAAATAGAGCCCAATTCCAATAGGAATTGGTCTGCAGACTGTTTGTCTTTCTTCTGGGCACATCTCCACTTACAAGACAGGGGTGCTACAGGGCAAAAGATGGAAACAAAGAATGGTGAGATTGCTGCTGCTCTGTTTGCCGTGTGTAATCTCCAACGTGGCTGCCCAAATTCCCAGTCGATGAAGGTGAACAGTGAAGGTGTTAACCTTACCTTTGGCAGTGCTTCCAGGCTGCCAGGTGATCTGCTCCAGAACTAAGCATAGCCACCACAAGCCCAGACGCTCAGGCCTTGAGGACACCCTTAAGTTAGACCCTAACTATCAACATAAAACATCGTCTATTCTAAGGACAGGTTAAAACTAGATGCCATTCAGGTACAGCTATGGTTAACAGCGGGAAAATGCGGTTAAGTCAATCAGTTATTCCATCCGGCTTACTGCTGTATCCTCACAGGATGCAAGAAAATGTATCACTATTTCATTTGTCTGCTCGCAGTTGATTGCCCATGTTCTGCACGGTGCTGCTTTTAAGAAAAAAGCACGTGGCTGGGAAGAGAGCTTGTTTGCCCTGTCCTGACTGCTGTATTCCGGGCCAGGTAGAAGAAAACAACTTTTCCAAGAGTAACTGCACGTACCCAAACAGGAAAACTGGGTCATGCAAAAAGGGAGCAGAAGAGGTACTAAGCAGGAGGCTGCGGCAGAGCCCATGCCTAACAGCAGTCTGTGGGAGCGATGGGAGGAGAGGGAGCACGTCCTGGGAACCCCACATTTCTGTACAACTTCACTCAGGCTTGGAAGCCACTGGAAGCTGCTGGAATAACCCTCACCAAATGAATCACCTGAAAAGATCTAATGGCTGGGGAGGAAGGAGAGGAACGAGACTTACTTTCAAGTCCTTCATCCATTCTGTGTCATGCCGAAGATTTTTGCTTTCCCCGTTTACAAGCTTACCACCTCAGTATGAGAGAGACAAGGACTCTTTGCACATTCACTTTATAGAAAAGGTGTGGAATTGGTACCTCAGTTCTGGCCAATGGGGCTTCCCATTAACAGAAATTTTACTCTTCTAAATCTTTGTCTCATAGAAACAATTAGGACTAGGAAGGAACTACCATCATGATCTTTTTCTTTTTCCAAACATTGAGAATCAGAAATAAAAATTATTTTATACAGTTTCAGAGGTTATAGAAAAGGATAAGTTAGATTATTATGTATTTCATATGAAGTGTGCTATCTTTTTATAAATTTTTCAACTTCACTTACAATTTTGTGTAGCTAAGTCAATACCGTCTGTTCAACTATTGCAAATATCTCACTAAGCCATCTGAACATTTCAATATAAAAGTAACTTTTGCTGTTCTGCTATCTAGAACAAAATTTGCCTTAAAGGATAAAATTTTCCTTAATGTGGTTTAGGTTATATGGTCAGAGAAAGCCAAGTTTGCCACACTTGATCATACTGTGCAGTCCACTGGAACGGCTCATGAAATAAGACATTACATAGGGAAAATAAGAGCCAAGTTTATCTGGCTCCTAAACTGTTGCTTCCCAGGCCAAGCACAATGATTTCTGTCAAGCACTTAGATCACGTGGATTCCCGAAAAAAATTCAAACAAAAAATCCTCCACCTATCCTCTCACCTGTGAGAGATGTTTCTGAATACATTCAATACATATTCTTCTGGTATTCCACCTGTTTTCTCAGACCTATCATTTACATCTCCATCAAGAAACTACCATTCTATACAAAACTGTACATCACTAGAAGTCCTAAATAGCAGAGTCCGAGAGCTTATTTCTACACATGATTTTTCTATGCCAATTTTTACTACATTTCAGAGCAGTATTTCAAGATGTTTGGATGCCTGAATACAAGGATCAATGCCCTTTTCTGGACGTTCAGAAGCCTATGGCTACCTGTTGAAATACATTGAAATGTTTTTTGACATCCTGCTTTGCATACCCATCTAGGATGCTTTTTAAAAACGGGTTCTTTTGCTATGGCACTTCAGGAGGAAAGTAGCCAGGCAAAGTTTTAGAACAGCGCAGAATGAAGATCCATTTCTAATCCCTCTTGCCCATCCATATAATGACTGAAGATCTAGCCCAATGACCTATTAGTACAGACAATAACCACAACCTTACTGTGACTGACTTTTTGAATACTCATTTCCTAGCTTACTTTCCAAAATCCAGGCAAAGCAAATGAAGAGTCTGCATTCAACCTATTTCTTCTGTTAGATTTTTTATTTTATTTATTCCAATTAATTTAGTCAGGAAGCAAGATTCAGGCTCCTAATCTTTTAAGACGTTATTCAGTTACTGCTAGAAATCACATTTCCCCACATTGCCGTTGCTTCCCACCTCTCAAAACTGTTTATTATGACAGGTCAGATAATAAATAGTTCTTTAGACACACACACATGCATGTGTAATTACCTGCGTAAATTCCCAAATAGAAGTTAAGGTCTAGATGTTCAGTCTCATTTGCTCCATTATTTCCATTCCTTGTGACATTCAACTTTTCTTGATGATTTGCCCTGTGGAAATGCATACAGAAGATAGCGATCATCAAATCACATTCTGCAAATATTCATGAGTACGTTTAACTGTTTCTAGATTCAACTCTGTTGAAATCCTTAGTTCACAAGATCCCATGTACTGATGTTGTCATGCATCACACCATGAGTAGAAGCGATCACAGGCTACACTTCAGCATAAAGTTTCATTATTTTTCCCCACACAAAATGAGTGGAGATCAGAAAAAGATCAAGCATATTCTGAAGTTTCCTAGAACAGGTTTCTCCCACCACCACCACCTATACAACACTGATTTCTATTAGACAAACAGCACTTGACTGAAAAGGCAGGAATGACTGACCAGTTATTATCACCAACTTACCAGTAAGAAAGCCACCAGTCCTGGAGCACATATGCCACCTTGAGTAAGAGAGGCAAATACAAGAATCGTCTTACAAAATGAAAAAAACATTAGAAAATTAAATTTCCGTGCTATTCTTTCATGTTCTCTGGGAAAACATCATATATTCAGGAAAGTATGCCATCCAGTCTTTCAAGACCAGCAGCAATTTGCAAAGCACATTAGAAGGTGCATTAGAACCCTCTACAAAGAAAGAAGTTACCTTAAATTACCTTACATGATAGGAAACTAAAGGAAAGCAATAAACTTAAGTAAACAAAATATAGCAGCTTTTCCTAATGTATGTTAATTGCACATTAAAGAACTCATTTTTTCAGTTCCTAAATTTGCTACTAGAGATATTCCAAAATGCTTTTTGATTAACAAACTTTCTGATGTTACCAGTCCAGAAATTTGTGTTTACAGGAGATAATTGCCAGAAACAGGGTTGAAGGAGGATGAGAGAAGAGCGGGAGGGAAAAACTCCTACTGCCACCTTCTTTCTGTGCTGAGAGGTGACTACAAACTTGTAACAGGGTTATTTATCTCAAAATACACCTCTGTTCACGTGAATTTAAAGTTCTGGGCGGTCTACTGCAGAGATTTGATCTTGCTCAGCTATCTTTTCAACAGACCCAATTCAAGGACAAGCAAAAAGGAAGTAACATGCCTAAATACATAGACTATTTTTTACAGCCAAGATGAATCATTTCCATGAAATGAATTTAAGCTTTCAAAAAAGAGAAAAAGGCAATAAACTATCTTCACGCAGCTTCCTCAGCTCACCATTTCTTTCAGTAAGTTTCAAAATAATTTTCCTTGTTTAAAAATTATTTTACATACCGGCTACAGTCTGCATTACACACAATATTTGCCTATCCTCTTCCTCACTTTCTTATCCTGCTAAACAGTGACCCTCCTTCTAGCCCTTCTCATAACCTGCACTTATCAGCAGACCAGCTTTTCTTTTAACACTTTTGTCAGACTCTGCCCTCTCATACCCCCTCTTCAACTGGAAACATACTGACTGTTCAGGTTTGTTAAACACTACTTTATACACTTTATGATTTTGTCCTCTATCTCCAAAAATTAGACTGGCTTATAATTTCTGTGCCATGCTGCCAGTGAAATAATTATTTTATTGAAGTATTAAAACTGTTGAAATAAGGATCAGTGCAAGACCTCTCAATGCTGTACCAAAACTCCATGCTGATACACAAAATTTGATCGAGCATAATACAAAATTATTAAAGAACACCATGCTCCCAAACATTTTAGATGAAACATCAGAGTAACAAGCATATACTATGTTAAAAAGAAAAAAAAAGAAAAAAAGAAAAAAAAGAAAAAAAGGCAAACCCAAAATATATTAAATATTATTTGTGGCTCCCAACAACTTACCTGTGCCAAAATGTTGAATACTAAAAGTATAAAAATCACAAAGTAGTTTGCTCCCGCAGTGAAATATTTTCTGTAAACCTTAAAGTTTATTTTTCCCTCAGAGCGACTCTCCTCTGGCACTGCAGCCAGTGCATTTTCAGCCTGAAAAAAAAAAACCAAACCAGAATAAAAACCATCAACCTTCCAGTTACAGATTCAAACTAAGCCACTTGAAAGTCACGGTTCAGAATTAGCAAACAATTAAATAAGGAGATAAAGCGATTACGCATATAAAAACTTTAATATCGGAACTAGAGCTTTGACAAAAAAAAATAGTCTCAGTGCAGTAATACTGAAAAATCTACTCTGCAAAATGACACTGTGAGGATTTTATTTTGCATTGCATCACAGAATGTAACATGACTTCATTTACAGCCAGAAATATTTACTCTAACTGACCGCTAAACCAGGTTTTTCTTTTCTTATATACTACCTTCAGTCATTAACAGCTCTGGAAGCTAAGGCCTTGACTTGGGAAAGATTCTGTTTTCATAATGCAAGTGTGTGTAACCTTTCCTTTTCAGAAAAGAATTTAAAGTAAATACTTTTCTGCACGTATGCGTCAAAATCAATCAACATATGCCCAGAGTAACAAATTACCCATAAAGTTCTAATCACTTCCTTGTAAGTACCAACAAAGCATCTGTTAATAGGGAAAACAAGTAAAATGACAAATGAGAAATCACATTGAGCAAACAATGCATGGGGGACACTGAAAGACAGAAAAAGAAAAAATGAGACAGGCATAAAGAAGGTCAAAGAAGTATTCAAATGAACAAAATTCTGGTTTTTTTGGTTTGGGTTTTGTTTTTTTTTTTTTACAGTATATGTGATAGAAAAACTAGTGCCAGTTCAGTGGACACTTAACACTTGATTTTGTTGTCAGCATACATGGCTGTACAAGAGCAGCGAGCGGAATCAACAGACCTGACTCATATGTAAAAGGAGAAATCCCACCTACTGGCCTATAAAAGAAGAGAAGCCTATCTTGGTTTTTTGTTTCTCCAGCCCCACTCCCCCATCCAACAGCTCTAATGCTGCTAAAAAGTTTGGCACACCTTTGTGGATTTAACAGTGGAGTCACTACTGGGACATTAATAATATTAGGTAAGTTTACTGGTTTACTGCTTTTGGGAATAAAACCATTCCTCCAAAAAGGTATGAAAAATAGAAGTCTATAGAGTTTTTTGGGATTGGTTTTTTTTGTTGTTGTTTTTTTTTTTAAATCTCACTGCTTTTTATTATAGAAAAGAAAAAGAAATAATATATACCCACAGCATGAAGGTGACAACCATCAGGGACACACAGGGATTACTTGTTCCATGTGTTCCATGGATGCAGTGCTAGCACAACTCTAGCAGGGTTACAGGGCTCCTGCGCTGTTTGTGTGAACGCAAGCACACCAGAAAAAGGCCACCTCTGGTACAGAAACCTTACGGCTGCTTTTGCACTGCGCAGACCGAGAGATAACAAGGCACCTGGAAGTCAAGCTGGCACCATACAAAGCGTTCTGTTTTCACCAACAGAAGGGCTGGCGAGACCAATGCAGCGGTGTCCCAAGGTTACCCCTAAGGGCCAGCGCAAGAGCTGTGGGTATGTTAATGCCAGCCATGCAAATGTAGAGTTTGTATAAAGCCACTGCTTCTGCATGCACTTACCAGAGCTCAGGATTTCAGGGAAAGTTCTAATTCGAGCTCAGCGCTGCAAGAACAGACAGAACCCACCCAATACAGTGGTACTGGCCCTTCAAAGCACCGTTGTCAGAGGACAGGATGATGGAAGCACAGTGCGGCATCTTTGGACACCTATAGGAATGCTTCCTGCATCCAGCAGATCTGATGCTGAATCTGAACAAACTCACTCTGCTGGGTTTGAACAGAACAGCGCAGAGCTGTAGGATGCCTGCCCTCTGCAGCCCAGGTGGCAGGACTGCCAGCCAAGCACAATGCTAGGCAGATCCACCGTGGGCGAGCTCTCACCTGCTAATGCAATCCAACAATGCCCAAAATTCAAATGCAGCAGGGAAAGCCCTTATCGCAGTTTAAGTTAAAAAACAGCCAGACAAGAATTGAGACAGGTCTATCCTTTGAGCACTCACAGGTGGTTGTTCCACTGCTCCGTCCTTCTGCGAGTGGACAGAAGAATCTTGGGACCAGACAGAGGACTCTGAGAAGGTTCGGCTCCGGGCAGACTTCAGGTTGGGGGTTCCTGGAACCGATGGCTGTTCTACCTCCTCATCTTTTTTCAAAAGGGAAGCAAAGTCGATGCCAGATCTCAGGAACTCTGAATAGGTACCTTTCCCCACCATTTTACCCTACAATTAATATAAGCTTTGATTATCTTCATCATACACTTTCTGTAAAGGACATTTTTTCCTATCTACCCTGCTGCCTCTTGGGTTCTGCAATTGCTGAGCACACATCCCACTGCAGTAACTGAGCTGAAGCCTCTAACTATCAGTTCCTCATTTAGAAGAGCAGAAACAAGCCCTTCACCCTCTAACCAGTCCCTTCCCAGCAGCTAACCAGGCCAAGGAGCATACAAACGGGATGACTAAAGTCCCAGTTACAGCCAGGTGAGAATTACCTCCTTGGAGAAGCTGTGGGTGACAGCCACGCAGCTTTGGGACAAGCTGTTGAACTACATACATAACCGTCAGTACTTTTATATTACTTCAGGCTAGCGGTGAACAGCAGCTTAATTTTCTGGTCCTCATAGACCTCTACAAGGAGCCACACAGACCATTTCCACACTTCTTACAGCTCTATCACAAACTCATTTCTAGAAAGCTACTGTAACTTTTAAAGAGATCTGAATGGAAGGAAAAAGACGGTTAGTGTCCTTTTTTGCAACTTTGTGATGCATCAAAAGTAATTCGAAGTACTTCACTACTCAACCTTAAGAGTAAAAAAAACACAAAAAACCCAGCTGAAGTTCTTGCATTTCCCCTCTACCCGTGAATATCTGGTACAACGAAGTTTGGAACCAGTTTCGCTGAAGGCCTGCTCATTCTCAAAGGTATCTATGACAATTTCTCAGCCTTAATTTAAAAAAGGGACTGGTTGCAAAATCAACATACTTCTTAATTCACACAAAAGCATAAGAAAAGAATAAAAGCAAAGCATTAACACAGTCTCAAAATAAGTAGTTCTCTCAGAGTATATTATACATATGTAAGATAAAAATCAATACATAAGATAACATATATTCATGATAAAATTCAGAAACACATTTTTCAGGGAAAGTATTCTAAGAAAAATCAACTTATTTCATTAATAATTATAAATCTTTAAAAACATACATGGTCATTAGTAGACAAAATATATTTACAAACAAAAAATAAAAGTCTTTAACTGTTTTTTTTTTCATTCTTAGATTAAAAAGGATATTTAGAAAGTATGTGAGAGATAAAAGTATAGACACTGAAATCACTTACATCTTTTAAAATTAGAATCTGATTTGCAGCACGGAGATATTGCAACTGGTGAGTGACCAAAACAGAGATCTTCTGATGTAAGGCCTGACAAATACATCTGCAAAAAGATGGGAAAATTAACTAAAAAATGAAGTGGCCTAAAACATTTTGACTCCTTCTGGAAAATGTCTTCTATTCAGTTATACAGGGTTTGAAATAAGAAAAAAAGATGCCCATGCTTATTAGATTTATAAAAATGACACTTAACAAACATGTTCCTTATTTAACTTTGTAAGTTTTCAAGGTAGGGAAAAGAAATTTCATATTTCTGGTCTGGGATGAAAGAGGAGGAAATATCTTAAGGACATTTCATTAAAATTGTCTTAAACATTCTCCTAACAAATGTACATGTCATAAGCTGAATTGCAAAGAGGGTATTTAACAAAAATTAGACCAACGGAAAGAGAAAGCAGGGCAACATACTGTGGACAATTACGGAAAAATACAGCCAATAAAAGTAACTTCTTTGAGATGAGCTTTCAGAGCAGCTGTAACAGTGAACCACCGAGAGTTCTGGAGAAGTAAACACTACTACTCATCTGAGCTACATCCCTGTCTGGATGTAAGCTCAATACAGTTGAGGTAGAGGAGCGAGATCCTTCAACCACCGCTGACCTCCTCCCATGGAATCAGGGCTTACCTCCCTTACCTTACCTGCTTACCCTAGAGGCTTCCCCAGAAGTTTGGCACTTAGAGAGAGAAGTGAAGAAGGGATTGGGCACACCAGAACCAGTCGGCAAGTGCAGTTCAATCCCATACAGTTTTAGCAGAAAAGATATCTGGTATCTTTTCAGCAGAGCCTTGGAAGGCTGCCAGAGCCAAAAAAAAAAAAAACCCAAAACATAGCGGAGCAATGCTTTACAAGCGCAGAGGTCTGCAAGCATGCTCTTCATGTACAACAGGGACAGCACTGACACAACTGAGTAGCCAACACTACCAACACTCTCAATGCCTTCATCCCCACAGTAACACAGCAGGGAGACAAACCCTTCGAGAGGACACTCCTTTCTCTACTACTTGCTATCTTAAGAAAACATGGAAAACTGATATTGCCTAGAACAGAAGTGTCCAGTGAAGGTGTATGCATTAGCATTTTCCTTTTGGATCAGGAGTGCCTTTTTGACGATCGTCTCCCAGTTGTCTCAACCCAATCTGCTGTTGCTCATACTGTTGAGTGGCATTGGGGCCCATGAACTGGACTTCTAGACGAAACCAAGCAGGAACACACACTTTGGTAGCACCCCTTATCAGTATTCAGCTGACGAGGAATGAAGCCCGCAGGGCCGGACTGCAGCCTGTTCAAAGCAGAACCTTCTGAACTGCACGGGGACCTTGGCACCGTGCGTTTTTCTCCACAGATCTGCTCCTGTTGGGCTCCTTTTTGCTAATATGCTAACTCCCATTTGCTAACATGACACAGGAGGGTGGCAATCACCACAAAAGAAAAACAAACCCACTCCCCCCCCCCCCCAAATTCTCTCTCCCCATTCTCCAAAAAAACACAAGCAAAACCACAGCAATCCAATAGTACAAATTCAATGCAGAAATGCAAATAAGCAGTAAGGGGAGTAAGGCAGAAAAAGAGTATGAGCTTAACAGCAATGAGGTCATATTGCTTACTGTGTTTCATACATTCATGTTGTATATCCAATTAACTCCCTACACAGCTTCTAACATCTATTTTATCACTCCTACAAAGACTGTAGGAAGTAGAATACTATAAAATGGTTAATACTAGTACTAGTCAGCATAACTACATGAGAGTATATTATAGTGTTCCAAATAAACTGTGCAGTAAAATTAAGTTAAAAGCAACACTCTTCCTGAAAAAGTTATATGCTTGCTATGCAGCATTCAAGAAGCAACTATAAACCCATGATATCATTCTTAGGTGGCCAAGATAACAATTAATGAAGGTCTTTGCAGCAGCATAACTATTTGAGCAGTTGCAACTATTTATACACCAAGCTCTTCAAGGGAGTATTTTTCTGGTGTGGTTACTGTCCGCCCTCTGAGCAGTCACAATTAAGAGCACCAGCTGAAGACATGCAACAAAACATAATCTTCAACAAAACCTATCCAGAGAACTGGACAAATCAGACAGGCTACAGGATATTTACTTGCCTAGCAGGAAAGGTGCCAAAAGAGAATGTATCAGGTATTCACCATGAAGAGATCCAGCTTTCCCTTACATAGTCCCACAGCCTATATACCACTTTCATCGCTGAATTTTCCGTGTGCCAGATGTATGTCTAACGGCTTACTGGGACAAACTAGCCACTAGAAAATCCGATGGCTGAAAACCTTTAAATCTTGATCCTGAGTCACAGTGAGCCCATTGCACTTTAAGTTTGCATTTGGAGGGGAAAAAAAAAAGAAGAGAAAAAAAAAAAGTGGGTTATCGCAGCATCAGAGCAAACCAATTAGAACTGTCAGAGCTGTCAGCACAGCATCCTGCATGATCTTGATCTCAGGAGAGAAGGCAAAAGTGACCTCTGTGGAAATATAAATTTCCACTGATATATCAGGTCACTCAATTGAGAATTTCTAAAAAAACAACAACTCTCGATTTGATGTCTATCTGGGTAGAAAGAAGCTAGCTGAATAGTTTGTTGATAACAGGTGAGCAGAAAAATTGTTGTCACAATTGACTGGGATGAGCACAGGGAGGAAAAAATCGCAACAAAGAGCATATACTTAGATCTATTACCAAGTTAAACAACTCACTGCTCAGACAGCTCACTAGAAAATTTTGCCATTTAAAATACTACATCATCATGAAGCACAGAAGTTGCAAAACTAGTAAAATACTAAGTATATACCTAACGTCTGTTTCAAAACATCAAACTAATTGAGCTTTATGTTCAAAAGCTTTTTTTAAATTTTTTTTTTTTTTTAAAGTATTCTCTCTCCCATTTAACAACATCCATTCTGCAGTTTACAGTGAGCATTAAGTTTGTACAGTGCCTTGGCTGCAACAGAAGACTGAAACCAGAGTTCAAAGAGAGGCTCAGCAAAACCGAATGTGATAAAAGGGCTGGTACAAAACTCTGACAGCTCGCTGAATTCTTATTAGTGAAAACTTGCTATTGTCTTAGAACTGAAAAAGAAAAAAAAAAAAACAAAATTGCCCATAAGTATTTATGTTTTTAACTGGTTAACTAAGGCTTAGTTTCATCATGCATCTATTTTTAGAAATACTGCTGTGTAGCTGAAGAAAAGCAACCAATTCCTGGTGAACCACCATCTAACAGTGTCTCCCTTTCTCACTGACGACGGAGAGAATCCAGGGAAAGCCTGCCTCAACAGGGGACATACCTGTCCAAGGGTTCAGATGTCTGCTGGAGTATGCCCAGAACTGCCACCACCTTTTTACCTGTTCTTTAAAACCCCACAAAGTTCACCTTCCTTGTGCTTCTCCATTACTCTCTCGAGGGGCATAGTCTGTTAGACTGCGGGCACATTTAATGCATGACAGCAGGATGAATTGCTGCACAAAATGCAGTCGCCATTGCCACATTTATTAAATACACAACCACACGCAGACACACAGAAGAGATGTGGACAGAGAAGACCCAAAGGTTCTTCAGCCTCTTCAATACAAAGAAAACAGGGATGAAGGGACTGTGAAAGCTGCATCCTCTTCCCCAAGTAAGAATCAATTTAAACTTAAACCATTCCTGATGGTGGATAGGTTGGATAGGTTGTTCTGTGCGTTTGTTTGTTTTAAGCTCAGCAACAGAAATTTCAACATCCTTGAAAATGTATTCCAGGGGCAAGCTACCTTTACCATTACAATTTTTTTTCCTCTAAAGTCCAAATTTACATCTTCTGGTATAATTTAAATCCACTGCTTCCCAGAGGACAGTAGACCAGTTCATACCTGTGTGCACAGTCCCTTTATACAGTAAGTCTCTCTCTTTCATGCCTCTTTTTTTTCTTTCAGAGCCCAAAACATAAAATCCTCCAAATACTTTTTTTCCCTTTTCTTTTAAGTGAGAAACAGTTTTCTCTCTCTCCTCCCCCCCTCCCCCCCCCTTGACACCCAAATGTTCTTGATGGGCTACACTGGACTCTGAGGCTGGTCTGCATTTTTTGGAAGTGCACAAAATTGAAACACTATTCCAGTTGAGACGTTACAGGTAAAAAACATAATAGGAGGATTACTTTACCTGTACTGCCAGATACAGTACTGGTCATAAATCCCAGGGTGCAGTTTCCTTAACAGGAGCATGACGTTGCTGACTCATACTGGATTTGTGATCTACCGCAATCTGCACCTCCTTTTCCATAGAACTGCCGCGCTACTGATCCCTGCTCATCGTATGTTCATGGAGTCAACACTTTGCACCTATCCCTGCTGCATGCATCTATTAATTCGCTAATTAACAACCAAGACTTTCCAAACCCCTGTCCGTCTCCAGAACTGCCTGAAGCATTGCCCAGTTTCCCATCACCTGAAAATGTAGCATTAATGACCTTCATTCGTCATCAGGAATACCAGACTCAGGCTAGATCTCTCCAGAAATCACACTCTTCCAATTCGACACAAATAAACAAACAATATTTTAAGTTAACAAACCTAAGTAACAGTATACTATCACCCATTTAGAAAACCCATTGCACTTTGACAGCAAACGTTTATACAATTAAAAAAAAAAAATTAGCTTGAGCTTTGATACTGCAGAGCATACAGCAGAAGACACTTACTCAGAAGGGGGCCTGCAACAACACAGTGCTCCTCTATGCAAAGGCAGCCGTCTTGGCACTTCCGTGCATACGAATCCTCATTTGTTCTTCCTTCCCTATCAGGTTTTCTTTTCTTTGAGACAAGTTGTTCTTTAATCTTTTTTAAGTTTTTATCTCCAAGAACCAGCTTTCTTTCACCTCTGCAAAGTGTCTCTTCTTTAATGATTCCACTTTATTCTTCACCATTCTTTTTGCCTCTCCTTTTTGGAAGCTCACATGCAAGTTTAACTTTACTCTAGTTAATACTTATATTCATTTCAATGGAAATAACCACTGAAATGAAATTAAAGCACATGCAGAAGTGCTCACAGCCATAAAGCCTTTGTTATACTGATTTACTTACTACATTTGCTTTCCTCTCCTTTCCCTTTAAATTTAAGTGGTTTAGGGAAAACAACACCCCAGTTGTTTTTGTACATTTTAAAGTTTACAAAATTTCAGGAGAAAGAAAGAAAAAAAGAAAAAAAAAGGTGAGATATGTTTGCCAGAGACAAAAACCACACACCTACTTCTACTATGCTGTTTCTATTTCTGTGCTTATCTTGCTAACCATTTATCTCCATCTAATACAAGCCCCAACCTCCACTGGGCTAATGCATAAGGACAACTGTTCTGGCACAAAACAAAGGTCCACAAAATCCATTGCCCTGTCCCGAGCACCAGCTGCAGTGGATGGCTGGAGAAACTATATAGGCAAACATACAGTGATGTTTCCTTTGGTACATATTTCCAGAGCCCATATATTAGGAACTTTCTGAGCCAGAGATCTTAGTGTTTAAGTAGCATTTCGTGAACTTTTCCACCATGAATTTGTATACCTCCCTCTTGATCCCATTTCTGGTTTAGTATTCATAATACTGTTTTGCAACTGCACCCACAGACCACTAAAGCACACAACTACACTAGAGTTCTGCAAGTGGGTAAACTGTAAAATTTTACAGTTTTTTGAAAACACACAATGTACAGTGATCACACTTACGCTTTTCACTTTCTGGAAAAAAAAACCCAAAAAACCCCAAACCCTAAAACCCCAAGCAACATTACTACAACATACTCACACCTTTTAAACATATTCCCTACAATAAACACAACGAAGCTCAAGGAATTTTAATTGTATCATCTAAATGTAAAGGTATAACTAATATGTTTTTAAGAGTAACACCTGTAATACAAAAAAGAGGTACATGGCATTCAAGTTTGCCCAGGACTTCTCATTAGGGCTGTAACCACTGCAGTGGTATCAGAGGCATAACGAGCGTGGACCAGGTGTGAAACACAAAGTGGGAAGCCTTAGAGATATCCTGGATTTAGAGAGATCCTACCTGAAAGGGAACAGAGTGAAATCCTTAAATTTACACACCAACTCCCCTCTACACTTGTCATCAGTGGACAAAGCATGTAATATGTATATGCCTTTAAACACAGCACTGACAAGTACATGCCAGGGTTATCTTTGCTTGGTTCCTCTGACACACTGATTATGTCTGTAAGCCCTCTACAGAAAGGAAACCTTCTAGCTTTTATCTGCTAGTTTTACAGGACTGGTGAGCTCCACTTGCTTTTAATTACCTACACCACCATAACAGCACTTTTTCCTCAAAGTTCCAATATTACAGGAGATCTACAAGCATACCCCACTTTGAGAGATATGAGACTGGAAGCATTCATGGCCTCCTAAGGGTTCCAAAAATCAAATTACTTTAAACAGACAAGGTAAATATTCAGATCTGTATAATTAAAAAAAAAAAAAAAATCCTTTTACTCATTTTCCCTACTTCATTTTGCTCCTCCCCTCAAGCACTTCTGGGACTTAGGTAAGAATGCACCTATCTTTGATGTAACACATAGACTAGGCACTTCTAAAAAAAATTAAACATTAATATAAAATTACAAGGGGGAAAAAAAAAAAGAGCCAGTGAACTGAACAATATCCACTTCAGATTCTCATTAAATAACCCCATTTCCTCCATTGCGTCCATTGTTTTATGCCTTGCGGTTTGGACTCCTGGGGCAGCTTGTATGAAGTGGTGTCTCGGACATTCCTCAGCACCATGTTCTAAAAAATCATTCTTGCCCAAGTGCTCTCTCTCTTCTCCACATTTCTAGCACTATTCAGGAAGCATTAAAGAACATGCCCTGCCTTGTTTTTCAAAGCGAGCTACTGAACACAATGCTCTCCCCACTACTCCCAGCACCTTTTAAAGCTGCCATAAAGGCCTCAGAAGACAACTTCTGTTTGTAAAAAAGCCCTCCCTGAATATCTTGAACAGGGAGGCACTGCTCAGTTTTCCTTGCCACTACTACTCCACCCAGTCCATTTCCTCCACAAAACGCTTTCATTCTATCTGTTTCACTCAAACTCATCTAGAGTTGGGGAGAAAAAGCAAACGAAAGTAAAGGAAGAACCCCAGCTAGTTTTCCGAGTTTCAAATTCTCTGAGATAATCTCCTTATTCCTCCTCATCTCCACATTTATCAGCAAAACATACGCTGTGCTCGCAGAGCAATGGCTTCTAGCTCCTTTACTGTACGTTTTGCACATACAAAAACCCAGACTTCCAGTTTTGCAGTAGGATGTAGATGCTCCCACTGTCACAGCTCACACAAAATGTAGAATAAATTGAAGAGGCAACCCGACCTCCTCCGCAAGGCACTACTGTATTTTCCTGTCTTCCTCTGTGAAAAGACCTTAAGACTTAAGGGAGAGGCAGGTTAACAGCTCAGGTGGGTGCACTTTCAGAACTCAGGCACTGATACAGTCAGATGCTGGAGTTGTAGAGCGATCTTGTGCAGAAACAGAAAGGCAGCAGCTAAAGCCTGGATACCTTCAACAGGCATTGAAGGAATTTGATAGAGTGTGTGAACTACAGAAGTAATGAACTCCATCTATCAGTCGTGGCAGGTGAAAATGATCCTGCACAGAATAATGAACATAAAGCCTATGCATCATAAAACTCTTACTCCATACTGGCTGATGGAAACAAAAAGTAGCCATTTGAAGAAATCAATAAAATAAAACAAAATGTTGATGGGGTTTCAGAGTGATCTCCAGATTTGGAACTGCAAACATCAATAGGATGTACAATTTTCAAATTTAGATACTAAAAGCTTCCCCGCATGGGCAAAAAGAACATGCATGCAATGCTAGTCAATGCAAATTCTATGACCATTTCTGTAAGACAAGTTTTTATGATTGTCTAGGGGTGGAGAGGAGGGAACAACAGCAAAACCAAATTAATTCATGTATTTGGAGCACGGAATTCAAAGGATGTAAGTATGCTCAAGAAAATGCTCTCATTTAAGGCTTCAACCAAAGCCCACTGAATTCAGTCAATGGATTTTTTTCCTTCTAATTCTAATAAATTCTAGTTTATACCTTTCGATACCGAGAGCCCCAGGCTATGAAGAAGCAAGGATGAAACACGGGCTGGGAATAACTGGATTATTCTCACACTCACTACGTGCCGTAGATTAGGCAGTTTGAAAGAAGGAGATGGAGAAGAAGAAATTTATTGAGAAGGAAACCTGACTTTTAACGAACAGTCTCCTGTTTCTTCAGGAATGGAGGAAGGTCCAATATCTCTCTTTCATGATAAGCTTATACATTCTCGTTTCTCCTATTTCTGCTCTCCGCAGTCTACTCTGCAGGCCACGGTTCCCTGTTTCACCTACCTGAGAGAAATTTCAACCATTCAAGAACCAAAATGAAACAACACTCAAGAATCTAAGAGAGTTCTGTCCTTTCCTCTAGCTACTTGAATTAAGTGCTGCAAATAAAGCTGCAGCAAACCAAGAAGTGATTTAAAATCCCACCCCATATTATTCTTTACTCAGTACTAATATTCATAAAACCCAACATTCATAAACCCCAATACTCATGTACGAAATCCGACATTTTCCTCAAGAAAATGGCATGTATTCCCTTAAGAATAATTCTAATATCTTCAAAACAGACTTTTACAGGGCTTTTAAAAATAAAGAGCAAAACGAAAGACACACACAGGGAAAAAACTATACGTCATCCAAACACATAAAATAGAGGAAAAATAAATGCAGAAAGTGAATGCATTGTTTTGTGAAGAGATCCATCTCCCTAAAAATGCTTTCTCAAGTTTTTCTATACGGAATTAGAAGATAACAATTGTATTTTAAATTAAAATAAAGCAGTAACATACTTTTCAAACAAATGTCTTCCAACTTCAGCATCTACTGCACTCAGTGGATCATCCAAAAGATAGATGTCTGCGTCTTGATACACAGCTCTAAAAGGTTTAAAGAAAAGTCAGTATCACAAAGTCTTACATTTGTTTACTTCAGTCGCTAAAGTTTGACAATTTGTAAATTTTACAAACAGTAAAAAACCACTAGCCTGGCCAGATTTACACGGGCTTTCTGTCCCCCGCTCAGCGTAGCTCCACGATCTCCTATTACTGTTAGGTCACCATTTGCTAATAATTCCAAGTCCTGTGAACATGAAAGAACAGATAGCAAGATTTTTTTTTTTTTTTTTATCATTTTAACTTCAAAGATTGACAAACATAACATTTTCTTATTTGAAAAGTATTAACTTATCATCTCACATTAAAATACAAGGATTCACACTAAATGAAATATCTGCAGTTACTTTATGACTTTGTACCTTCAGCAAAAGATAATTAAGAAAGCAGGAAAAATAGGTGAGATCTTAAATTCCACTTTTTCTACAGCTTTGCCAGAGGGAAGTGCACTACTCTTCTTAGTGTTACAAGGAATATTTGCTGTTGATTCAGAAAATCAAACTAAAAATTATGAAGTGTAAGAGTAAATTAATTATTTTTTACTAGAAAAAAATGAGCTGTCACAATAAATAAAACGGAACCATTATCAGTAAATTATCTTCCATTTGCCAATGTCCCAAGAACTGCATTACTTTTATTCTTACTGCAATGTATCCAAGGGAAATAACCACAACATTCATCACACAAATTTGGTTAATTTATGGGGCTTGGGACTATGAGTAAGAGGACAAAATTATACAGTGTTCCATGTCATACTATTGCATTTCCTATTCAGGAAATACAGAAGTTTTATATTAAGCTATAAAACATATTCTGAAAGTTTATTCACGACTTTTATAAGATACATAAATTTGAAAGAAAACTATGAAGGCAAATCTACCATCAAATATGAAGTGGGTTTTTTTTAAATGCAGTTTGCTGTCTTTTAGAGTCACTAAAACCTTAAGTTTAGACAACAGCATATGACTGAATATCAGCAGGAGATATTAAAACTCTATCTACCATGTGTAAAATCCTTGCAAAAAAATTTTCATCACAGTAACCATCTGCTTTTCACCTGTGTCACTGCTGACAGGAATATTGTAACATGCTGCATAAAACCTTTTTAGCTGCCAAGCAAAATGTCTGTTTCTTGACAAATCTGGCTTAATCCTCTTCTATATCTCTTGTCACAAACTCCTTTGCACACAGACCTTTCAAAAATATTTTTTCATAAAACTACTTGGGCTCAGCAAGTTCTCCAATATATAGCACTAAGGTTCTTTCGATAGCCGTTTGCAATGCATAATACATGATATACATGACATTTATTTAAAAAAAGTATATAGGATATTTACAAAATGGAAGTCACAGATAGTGCTAGCTTGATCATTTGGTTTCCACCTTTTATTGCATTTACACACACACCTACCATAATACCAGTGAAAAGGGCTAAATGTGATTATGAAATTAAATAACTGGGAATAGCTTTTTCCAAATTTGTCTGTGCTTCACATAAACTACACCCCCCTCTAGTGAAAGTTTTAGGAATTACAAGAATGTGCTTACACACCGATATAAAAAATAATTACACATAATTCTGTTAAGCAATAGGATTTATTTCACATGCTACTAATAATAATCAATTCTATATATTATACATTGCAGCACATACCACAAGTCTGAAAGAACACTAAGATAAAAATAAAGACTGTGAAAATAAAACACAGAAAGAGAAAACCATACCTTTTTAAGAGCACAGACTTTTAAAACTTTTTCGTATTTTTCTTTCTCATATTCCTTGTCAAACAGTATATTACTTCTTACTGTACCAGAAAACACCCAAGGCTGCTGAGAAACATAGGCAATTCTTCCAGTAACGTTTATCAAACCTTTGTCTTTAGGCAGCTCACCAAGCACAGCACTTAAGAGCGAAGACTGGAAAATATTAAAAAAAAAAAAACAACCTGAAAAGTTTGATTGCATTAAAGATGTCACAGAGATTGAGCAGTGTTTACTGGCACGATGACCTATTTCACCCTGTCACTCAAACTACTGCTAACAGTAGAAGAGCACTAGTACCCTTTACATGCAGTCTAGAAGCAACGTACGAAGTACTGTTTAACTCCGAACCACCTCCTCCCCACCCCCAGAAGGACATCTGCCTTTCCTGAATGCCAGTACCTTGATGTCAAGTGTGTTGTTATACACAGAAAGGAACTGTACATTTTCAAGTTTCTAGTCACGCTTAACAGACTCATAGAAACCCCACAGAATGGAGTAAACACTAAGACTTACTTTTCCAGCTCCTACAGGACCAATCACAGCCAATAATTCCCCTCGTCTGACAGTAAATGAAAGTTGTTGAAGTGCTGGGCTTTCTAAACTCTATGGATTTGAGAAAAAGTTAGGCTTCCTCAGTAATGAAATAAGCACCATCAAAACAACTCTTTAGAAACAGAAAGCAATGCACATAAATCACTATAAATTAGCAACCCACATGCCCACCATATTTTCAGGCAGTTTGCCTCTTCGGTAATTCACAAATACTTTCGAAAGACCCTGATCCTTCACCACAAACAAGTAATACGGATAAAACAGTGTTTAAGGAAAAAGGAACCCAAAGGCAGCAGAAGCAGTGCTTCCTCAAAGCACCCTCGCACCCTCGCTGCAGCTGAGCACAGGGCTGGGGCGGCAGCCTCGGAAACAGGAGCTCTCTGCTGGCCATCGCACCGGCATTCACAGCGCCGGCACGGCACGCCCGGCGACTCCGAGTAGCCGGACAAATGCTGGAAAAAGGGAGGGTTGAAGCTCTCTCAGAGCCCCAGGAAAGCCAGGTCTGTGTTTGCTCTAGTCAAGGCTCTATCCAAAGAGAAGACAGAAAAATGCCGTTCGATTATACACAACTTCATCTTGTATATCGTGGATTCTCAGAGACTTTTCACAGACAACATAGTGTGCTATTTGTGTGAAAATATACTACCCTAGAATTGTTTAATAGTTCTTTTAGTATGCCTACCCTTTATGTGACGCTACTGATAAGAGCTTATTTCCCAACATATTTTGCACCTCTTCTATCAAGGTTGTAAAAACGCCTATTTCTTGTGAAAAGAAAGGATGCTCATGTCTTTAATAGCTATGCTAAACCACAATTCCTAAGGGCCTGGTGCAGCTCCCTCTCATTAAAGCAAAACACCCTTGTAACAGGATCTGCCTTTACATGCATCTTAGACCGCACTAAGCATGACTGACACTAAAATGCAAACAGGAAAATATATGCATTTAGGGGAAAAAAAAAAAAAAGTATTTCTATTAAAGGACCAAACAAAAACCCAGCCTTAAGCTTCAAGAAAGAAGAGCAAGGTGAAGAATATCTAGCGTACCTCTTAACAGCTTGCAGACTGCTTAAAATCTCCAGCCACCCTTTGAAGCTCAAGAGGCTGAAGAGGCCATCACCTAACCACGCACGAAAGATGCCGCAAGACCAAGTTCTGGGACTACAAAAAGGGGAAGCTTGCAGCTCGTTATTTGGGGGAGACACAGGTACGGTACCCATCCACACCTGTGACGGCTGGGAGAGCTGGGCAAGCACACGTGTCCACTCGTGCCAGGAGAAATACTCGGTTAGGCAGCACCGTACCCAGAGCTCAAAGCTGCACGTCCCCCATCACAGCTCCCACCTCGCAGAGGCACCGCAGGGTTCACACGAAATCAGAGTCACACCGTGAGAACCCAAACTTGCGCATGTTGTGCAACTCTGCAAAACTACTTTTGTTGCTATTATTAATTTCCACAAGGTGGCATCAATGGGGCTCTTTTTCCCTTTCTCCACCCCCTCTCCCAATCAGCATTTTACCACGGATTTGATTTCTCGGTCCAGAGTAACAGTTCAGGTGCTCAGCTAGTGCTAAGTTCAGGGGAACTCTACCAACTTATGGCAGCCAAGGCTTTTTTTTTTTTTTTTTTTTTTAAATGCAAAGTTTGTAGGAAGAGAAAATATCTCTTATTAAATCAATTAGTCTATGGAAAAAGTAAATAAGTTTTCAGACACACAGGCCCTTCTTCAGACCTCTTGAGGTTGTGCTTCTCTACTCCAAAAAGTGCAAAGATATTTCCTCCCACACTCAGGTTTTTAAAAAAACATATCATAAGAGCCTAAAAACATTACAGAAAATTTAAAAGAAGTTTTTAAACTATTACCCAAATATTATAAAGTGGTATTGTAAGACATCATAGACCCTATACAAAAGTAGTAATGCAAGCAAACAGCATGGCCGCAAACACCTAAGGGGCATGGTATTTTTACAAAATAGCATTCTTTATAATTAAAGACAATTTGTCCTGAATTCATCACACCTATTTTTAGGCACTAAACTGAGGCACTTAAATTAGAGCACAGACTAATATTACAGCTAAGTTCATCTGACAGCTCATTACCACAAATGGCCCAGCTCCCCTGTGTCCTGTCAACTATCCCTGTCTTTCCCTTCCATTCTTCTGCCACTTGATCTTGCCTAACCTTGCAGGCAGGTTGTTCATGGGACTCAGCTATCAAGAAAACAAATCACATTAGAAGCGATTCATTTTCTATTGCTTTATCCCTCTGAACTGGTTCCCCACAGGGTCGTATATACAAACATTAACACCAGCACAAGGGAGGACACGGAGTGCGAGGACAGAAGGACACAAGAATGATCCCTTCAGGGGCAGCAACTCCTTAGGTAAGCTTGGGCAGACCTTACACGTCCTACAGTCAAGAGAAAGAAGCAATTCATCCCGTCTAAGGGGTACAGAGACCATATATTGCACAGAAGTACTATACTACTTAGCCTTCTCATTTAAGTGACTAAAATTACAAGGGATAAATTTGGCCTCCATTCAAATACTTGAATTTTAAATCTGAAGTTGCTCAGTTGAGCAGAAAGACTGTTCTATAAACTCAAGGCACATCAGTAAAAACCCCTACTGAAGAATCCCTAGTTCCATGCTGGTATCAGACTAGCCTGTGGGACTCGAGATAACATGTGCCTTAGTAAAACAAGAGTGTGACCATGAATTAATTGGTTTTGTTTATCTTTTGATAAACTGTAATACACCATGTTAGGTTGTTTTCCTAAAAGTCTAGCTAATAATCCCTTTTTGACTTCCAGTGATTTTGGATTTGTGGGTTGTTGGGGTTTTTTTAGTATCTCTTTTGGCTCACAATCTTTAAAAACAAAAAAATTATCATCCAGCTGTACAGTGTCTGCACAGAGATCCAAAGAGTCTTGAGAAACCTAGCCAGAGTAGCAAGCTAAGCTGGTTACTTGACAAAGGATAGCATATTTTCATTATTCCTTTTATAACTCCTCTCTCTCAGAACTCATCATCTTTTCAGTGAGCAACTTTTAAAAATTATTATTATTTAAAATTAAAAAGAGTATATAAGAGAAACTTTCTGAGCAGCTCTTAATAGTTCTGGGAGAACTATTCTTCTCCCATGAACACTGCAATTAAATATCAAAATGAAAATTACATTAACAGTTTTGTGGGTGGTTTGTTGGTTTGGGTTTTTTTAAATCGAAAGGAAACCAGTAATTCCAGTCATGCTACCCTGCTTTATGCAATATAAACAACTCATGAGAAGAAAAAGAAGGCGTTTTATGGGCATATTATGCAACCATTTCCTATGAATTGTTAACAGTGGTACAAATGTTGGTTTGGGAAGAAAACAAAGACTAAGAAATACATTCCATTTTGCATTAGAATGTATTCACCATTAAGTTTTTCATATCAATTTTTAAAAATGTGCTCGATGTCTCAGAAAGATTTATGTCACAGACAACTCTGAGAAAATAAAGCACAATAATATAGAAATTTTCTTTTGTAGCTGAGTAGTAGTAGGTAGATCCTCACATATGTTTTCACACTTTATCTTCCTTGGGACACAGCACACATAGGGGAAGAGGGTATATAAAGGGAAATATGTGACATGTCTTATTTGCATTACATTTATATGCAAAATTCATTTTTAGAGCTTCCAGCACTTCTTATAGAGACTGAAACTTCCCTTGTGCAAGGATACCGACAGCTCGTGATAGCTCCAACAATTCATCACAAATTGCTCCTCACCATAGCAATTGCAGTTTTAAAACAGAAACAACAGTCAATCTTTGCCTTTCTTACAGAAAAGGATACATAATAGATTTATCACCTGTGTATTGTCCCTTTTTCTAGTCATTTTGATGATTTTGGTGCATTTTAAGCAGAGAACAATTTGTAGCTGAACAGTCTCAATTAAAATACCCAGAGTAACAAATATGTGCAAACTAGTCTCTAAAGCTTTCAAATCTGTTATGAGAAGTATAATATTGTACTCGTTCTAGACTAACGGACTGATCAGCATTCAGTTCACAGAAAAAACCGCACACGCTGAGGCCCACCTTACTGTGCTGTCTATCCTTAATTCTAATTTAAGTATCTCAGCTACAATACAATGCTGCTTAGTAACAAGAGACATTTTCACATAGAAATGCACAGATTTTCATTTAGTATAATATTCAGGAATAGCTACTTTTAAGATGCACTTGATAGTGTTTTCCGTACTATTCTACAGAGTTAGCTTAACATACTAAAAGGATTCTCATACACAAAAGATGGAATACAAAACATCAGCACACTATACACAGACATTCTGCTTTTTAGACTCAAAATGCCTGCAGCGCCAATATACTTTACATTTAGTAGAAGTAAATTTACCTTATCCCAATAGCAAGTCAAATCCTGAACATGAAGAATGACATTCTCATTATTACCATGCAGTTGTGGCTTGAAGTGTGAGACCTCATCAAGTATCAGAAAGTTCTGCAATAAAAGAAAAGCACAGGATATTACCTAATGTGAGACTGAGAATGGGAAAGGAACCCAAGCACATGTTTTTGGAAGCAGCATACAGAACATTAATTATGGGGGGGAACAACCACAAACTGATCAAGGAATTACATTTCCAAAGCAATGCGCAACTCCTTCAATAGTGTACCTCTAACTAGCTAACTGTGCCCCCTCCCCTCCCCCCGCCTCCAAAAAAAAAACCAACAAAAGTGCCGATTTAATAGCATAAAAGTACTACAGGACTCTAACAACCACCTGCTCAATAAAACAGAATTCCTGAAGCAAATGGACCTGAAGAACCCGCCCTGTCTGTTCCTTGAAACACTGACAATCTTACAATTGTTTGACTCCCTCTTCCCATGCAGAAGAGGTGAAACCCTCACTGCAACACCTTATCAGTCCACTGCTTTGATGGTAAAGGCTTATGTTGCTTCGCTCGGAAGAACAATGAGGACATGGTAAGAAGCTGTCCACTGTCCCTATTAAGCATTTTTCAAGTGACAAAAAGGCTGCAGAACGCTATCTGAACCTCTCCTCCTTTTAAAGTCCAGAGCATTAACAAAAAAAATTGCTTACGCTTGTGTAACTGGTTCGTTGCACTTTCACTACTGTACTTCTACATTATATCCCAGTCAGAGAATCTTTCCTTCAAGGTGCATAAATGTGCACTTTTGTACCACAGCCACACTTCTAGCACACCCTGTCTGATCCTAGATTATAAATAGCTCAAACACATTTAGAAAGAAAAGGGGCAAATTCTAGAGAAAACTTTCAAGGATAAGTTACCACAATTTTAAGACAAAACCAGAAAAACTCTATCATGCTTTGAATCACAGACCTTAAAGACCTTAAATAGGCTCTAGCAGACAGTATTTTGAGAAAAGAAGGAAGGTCTTGACCTTAGAAGCCAAGACTAGTTAACAAGTCCTGAGCTAACAGTTTGCAGACGTGAGATAGCTGCTGAAGACTTAGGGAGGTCAGTAACTGAGAGGAAGCAGCGGGAGGATGCCAGGAGCCATGGGAGGACAGGAGGAGTACTGCTAGGTGTTAACAGGCCCAGGGGTACTGCTCTAACTCCAGCTGGTGGGTAAGGTTTCAGAGAGCAGTGAGAAGCCAAGTGTTTTAATGCAGCAGCCTGCAAACTCAATGCACATATATATAGCTCCACCAAAAGGCAAAAGTGCAAAGCCAGACATGCCTGAGCTCTCCGGCCAGGTGAGTATTGCTGAGCGCTGTTTTAGATAGGCAGGCCCAAACGGGTCCGTGTGTAAAAGAGAACTCAGGATAAGAGAGTGGTAGGCAGGGGAAGAAACTCCGGACACAGCCTGAATCAGTACTGGGGTGTGTGGCTTGAGAAAAGACCTCAGAAGTGTGATTTAGATTTAGGTGATGGCTGAAATACCATGGCAGTTATAAGCAAGGAATCAGTCTCTCGTCGTTTCTGCATTTACCAGGAATTTCTTTTCTAGCAGTAGCATTCATCCCAGGTATAAATCCCAGCTAGCCATTTAACTCGAAAATGTTACAGTATCACATACGGAAGATTTCAATAAAACTAGTACAAATGAAGAAAAAAGTTACATGGTTAACACCATGAATTTTAAACAGTGGGGGAAAAAATCAACACTAGAAATAAAACTTTCAAATGCAATAACTTAAGCCTTAGAGACTCTTTAAGTTCTCTTAAAACATTCTTCCATTCTTTTTGTACTTAATAATCTCCCATACAGAGAAAAATAAAGTTGCTACCATCCACGGATGCTGAGAACCAAACATTAGCTTGAGATATGACTGTGTCCTTGAAAGAGAAACCTCTATCTTTTCTATCCAGCTGAAACCTACCCTCTTTTCTGCGTGTCTGCCAAATTAACCCTCTGAAAAACAACTGCTCTCACTCACTTTGTTTCACGAGGGGACCTTGAGCCTATTGCTCCATCACAAAAGACTGAATGAGCTTCAAGAAGAGAGGCAGACCAGCTCTCAGATGTGTAGCTAGGGTGATGGGAAAAGAGCTTAGGTGAAAAACACAATAAGGAGACCACTATTCTTTTTGCCACATAGTTCTTATGTATGTATAAATGAATATGGAGGAAAGGCTACTACCGCCCACCTGACTATCGTTCTTTACTGTCACCTGAAGCATAGTATCTCCTGCTTCTTTCTCTCCATCTGAGCATACTTTAAGATCAGTGCAGAAACCTCACTTGTTCTACAAAACCTAAGAGAAAACACCTTCTTAAAAAAACGTTTTCAGTTTTGCCCAAATATACCTAGCCATCGCCTTAATCATTTTTTCTGTATTTCCTACTCTCTTCTCCTAACTCCCTTCCACTTATCTACATTTCAATAACACATCTTTGGTCAGGCAGCATCTTGTCATTCAGTAGCAAAATGTCCAACCCTGAAACCGTTTGGGAAACGGAAGCTAAAAAGTTGGTGACGGCATCAAGGATGCTACAGATTCATTAGGACAATTCTTTTCCCAAAAACCATCCTTAAGGAATCATAAGTGCAAGGGAGTTGGAGCCGGCTGTCAGAAACAAAATCATGTGACCACTAGGATACGCTGGAAACAGAGACAAGAGAAAAAAAAAGGAACAGATCATCACTGCCTCTGCGCAAGTGCCATTCTCCTGTTCCTAAGGCATCTTTTTCAGCCATCCCTGTCTCTCAACCTGCACAGCTTGAAAGATCCCTTGAAAGAGCACTGCCCTGCAGCTGAACACAGGGTATATGAGAGTACAGAAAAGACAGTGTGCAACACCCAGTATCCCAAGCACTTCTCTCCCCCTCCCCCTCCAGTTTAGTTTAAGCAGTAATAGTAAATGTTAATGCCTATGATATCGCTGTGGTCATGATTTTCACACACTGACCTTTTCTAACTCCATTTGCATCAACTTTTACAAAATGCTTCTTTGAAGTGCAAAGATTACCTGTTTAATACACAGTTTTTTGTGCGGGCTTACTACAGTTAGAAAATTTATCAATAAAAAACCTATTTATTATATTCAAGCACATGGAGAAAAAAATAAAATAGGAGATGTTTAGCTACTTTCACCAACAAATGGCATAGTGACACTATGCAAAGCCATATGATTACATCTAAAGCATTTCTTTTCCCTGTTCTAGACTAGATTAACCTGGTTTTTTTGCAAAATTAAGTTCTAAAATGCCTGGCATGCTTTAATTCTGTACTTTGATAACCTGACAATTTGGGATTTTTTAAGTTTTAAATTCAAAATGCATTTTGCATTTAAGTCATTTGCTCTTGCAATTTATGCTAAAGTATTGGTACATGCAGCAAACATGACTATTTTATTCACAACATACACTAAACACAGCAAAACAAACAAAATAAAGTCCATATGCCAAAACCAGCAGCATGTTCGTCCTTATTGAATTTGAGTCTTCACTCCAGTATTGAAAGCAGCCACAAGACACCAGCTAGGGCTCACACCTGTCCTCCATAGCTGACAAGGTAATGCAGTACACATGGAATATGAATATGAACCCTACAGCTCCCATCTGCCTGCTTTGTCCCCCAGCTCCCAATCCCAACATATCTGCGTATCTGTACACGTGTTCCTCTAACTTCAAAAATGTCTACAGCAGCCACATGACACCAGCTAGGGCTCACACCTGTCTTCCATAGCTGACAAGGTAATGCACACATGGAATATGAATATGAACCCTACAGCTCCCATCTGCCTGCTTTGTCCCCCAACTCCCAATCCCAACATATCTGCGTATCTGTACACGTGTTCCTCTAACTTCAAAAATGTCTACAACGCCTCTTTGCACGTACAATTTTCTCCTACATTTCAGCCTGCCCTACAGTGCATGTCATGTTTTTGCACGTGCGTACACAGCAACATGTTCAGTTTTCAAAATAGGTTATTTCATTAAAAATCCCAAACTGCAAAACTAAAATAAGGCTGCTTTTGTCGATGACATTAAAACAATGTTAGAATAAGAGAAGAAATCCACATACCATTCAAATCAATAACCATACCTTGATTCGTCGTATGCTAACCACGGCCTCGGACACTCTCTCAACAGCCGCAGGGAAGAACAGAGTTACTGTCAGTCTTACTGCACCATACAGGGACACTGCAACAAACACCCGACTTGCAGAGATAACATTGCCAAGTAGTACGTATGCCATGAAAGTCATGAACACTGTTATTTTGCTTGCCACAAAGAAAGAGGCTAAGTTCAGTCCTCGAAGGTAGGAGCTTTTCATAACCATGGCAATCTCCTTCCTAAAAATGCAAAATACAAACAATCACATCAGTCTCTCTCATTACAGTTGCCCTCAACAATAGGATGAGGGAAATCCACTCTCAGGATTTTACTTCTATATCCTTTCTCCTCCCCTTGCACCACCCCAACTCACATGTAAAGAACTGTAAAGAAAGTATGTTATATGGTTAAGTAACAAAAGAGAATTTAAAAGGCTTAGAAATTGAGTGGGGAAAATTATTATATTTAATATCTTAGTAGCTATAGAAAATAATTCTTTTTCAGAGACGGCAAACCAAAATACTGGGTTTTTTCTGCTTTGGTCAAACTAGTATTTTAATTCAGATTCTAATCTGCTTCAAATTTTTCTGGGTTGCGTACAAGAGCAAAGAGGAAAAAACCTCTGTATAAAGGCCAAGGACCCACAAACTCCTTGTCCTTCCAATACCAAAAACCAGTACAGTTCAGTCACAAAACTCCTGATAAGATCAACACATACTCTGCAGTTGAAAAAACAGGGCAACTTCCAAAAGATCAAGAGTTCACCCATGGCCCAAGTATCTGCCATTATTCAGCTGCTGCTCCTCAAGCTGGATCACAGGATTTGCAGTATTTCCTTTGATCTCAGTCTAAATCCTTCCCGATTTGGACCCTGCTCCTGGCTTCTTTTGCCCTAGGAATTCTGGTTCATAATTCAGAATACTGATCTGTGAGGCCCATTGTTCTGCCAGCCATTACCCGAGCTAAATAGCGATCGAAGTACTGCACAGGCACATAAGTCTCCCTCCAGCAACTGAAAAGCTGCTGATGCGTATGTTCTCAATTTCCACTTCGGTTAAATTTCAGTTTCCACTTCTAAATCACTCACGAGGTCCAGTCCTCAAAACGTTACTGCACTATCTACAATGTGGATGACATCAGGCTTAACTTCTTATTAAAATAAGAATGTAATTCTTATAAAAATAGTTTTTCTGTATCAAGAGAGCCATAAAAACTTACTCCTTCCCCATATATTCTAATTTTATCTGTTTGAAATAATATAGAATATAAAATCTTGAAACAATTCCTCATTTCTCTTCCCAATATTCTGGCAATTCTCAGAGAAAATCTTGATCATTTTGATTACCTTCTACTTGGAACTATACACTAAGATTAGAAACTCAAGCTATGATTACACAATTTGAAGTAAATTAAGTCCTCACTTAACGGAGAGAAGGATGCACGATGTGCTACTGGAAAACTAGTTAAGCGACTTTCCCACTATACTTGCCAAATTGGCTGAATTGACAGACTTTCAAAGAGTTTCAAAGACTTATTTTTTCAGCTTAAGGGCTCACAATCTCTGATCTCCTCCAGAGTACAGAGAAAGAACATTTGTATGTAAACTATTTGAATTGGGTCTAATTCAATTACTTCTACAATCCTGGATGAAACTCTTTTCCCACCCTCTAATAATCCTTAATAATCCTCTCACTATCTGTGGATAATCAGCAAGTTCTTTGTGCTACTCTCCATAAATATCAGATAAATTACAGCCTACCCGCAGGCTGTATATGATATACTACACTGTCTTAAGGCACGGAGTTATATAAAAGGAAACTAATACGGACAGCCACAGGAAAAAAGAGCAACGGAGGAGTTCAGATGTCGTCTTAGCAACTGTCAGGGGCCACTGTGGAAATATTGGGCAATAAATCACCTGGCTGAATTTAAGACTTTTAACTACAGTTTTCCACAGCACAGTTAAAGAAAAGAAAGAGGGCTCCAGATGTGTTTTGGAAGAGCTAATTTCTCTCCATCATTAAAAAGGAAGCCTCTAATCCTAACGAGGTGTTGAACTTGGAAATCTTAACGTTTAGTGATGTGAATACGCCCATTGAGGAAGCTTTCAATAAAGAAATATCCTCTCTGGCTCCACGTAAGACAGCAAAGCTTTCAATCAATCAAGAACATTCAATCAGCACATGATCCTATAATCTGAAGGAGGAAAGGATTATATACGTGGGAAGAAACATCTCAGGGAACATTAGCAAGTTTGCAAGCCTGCACATGGATGTAAAGGAAAAAAATTCCTTTAAAAAAAAGGAATTCCAAAAAAAACAAATTAAAAAAAAAAAAAAATCAGACTATCTACAGCAGGATAACAACCTTCTACTTATATGCTGAGTGAGGGACATAACATGAAAATTACATGATGAGAAATATGCACCTGAGCTCCTACAGTTATCCTTTAGCACTGAATGCCCTTATACTGTCAAGTAAAAGCACAAATATTGATCGAAAATCGAATTTATGAATAAGTTCTAATCAGATGCTGGCGGACCTCTGAAATGAAATGTCTTAGGATACCAAACTCAGCTGGCCTTGCCAGTTGAACAGCTAGAGAATTTCTGAACTGCTGCCTTTCTCCCCTCCACCCTTCCCAGATGGCCGAAAGGGAAGCAGAGTACTACCTGAGGATGCTATCATTTAGGACAGAAAGTCAGATTCCCAGAAGGGAAATGTCTGTTTATTGGTTCCTTGCTATTAGTTTACATAACTGTGAGGATGAAATTGTTCAATTATAACTACTACAGTTTAGTAGTTGCTGTTTTTAAACACAACCGTAAAAGGAAGCATGAAACCCCCAAAATTTATAAATATCAAAGGTTTTTTTTCTTATTCTGTCCCCTTAGATATAGATCATATACCAAAGCTGTATCTTTCCAGGATTACCTTCTTAAACCATTCACAAGTTCCGCAAATGATTTTTCCCAAGCATACATCCCCTTAGGATATATTTTCATTCCTTCACTCTTGCTATAGAAAATTTAAAAAAAAAAAAAGCCAGAGCAGTAAACTGCACTTAAAGCACAAAATAATACACTTACTGACATGTGAAAAAATGGAAACAGATATAGATCATATACCAAGCTGTATCTTTCCAGGATTACCTTCTTAAACCATTCACAAGTTCCGCAAATGATTTTTCCCAAGCATACATCTTTATTATCTTCATACCACTTATGACTTCATTCATGGTCCTAATCCTGACATCCGTTAAGGCAGCTGTCTTGCTTCTGTAAATAGCACAAAGTAAAAATTCTCAGATTCTCAAAAGAAGAGAGACTATTCACGATCACATAACACACTCATATTAATGAAGTTTTTGCTTTTACTTGTGAACAGGATTCATATAATTGTAATTGCACTAAAGGGTCTTCCTAAAACAGTATCTTAAAGCTGACACGCAGCAGACAGACTTGGTATGTCTGTATTCCTGGTATTTCCTATTCTCACGGAACTATGAGTTGATTCAATGTTCAGAATTATATGTCAGCTTGCGCAAACACATGGTATTCCTTAAACAGCATATTTGTGTAAAAAAAAAAAACTCAAATGAAAATATTTACAAATATTCAATTTAGAACTAAACAAAAATTAGAAAATTACTTTTAAAAATGGTTTTTAAATGCCAAAATAACAACCCTTCTCATAAGGCTCTTTTGACGTTGTTAACAAAACTGGCCTCTGTTTGTGTCTTTTTAAGATTAACTCTAGTTGAAGCAAAGATTACTTAGTAACAGTATATGGGCTATAATTTAGGAGAGCTAATCTAGATACGGTTTTGTTTAATAAATAAATATTATTTAACCATTAACTGTAATTAACACTAAAGTAAATATATCTATTTTGGTCCCACATTATGTTTGCACTAATGAACAAACTGGAAAATACATATAATTAAATAATAAAGTCACAGTTTTAATTAGGAAAAAAACACTGAAAGTTAGAAGCCATGTAATGAATGCATAAACCATGCTAATAAAGCCTATTACAATTCCGAATTCACTCATGTAGACAAACATACTTCGCCCATAGTAAGCTATGGTAGGCCTTATTTTGATAAAACACACCTTTTCGTGCTAAATTACTTATTTTTGTATATACCAATGAAAGTTAAAATTCAGAGATCATATTAAAAAAAAAAAAAAAAAAAAAAAAAAGAAAAGCTCTTTAGAAGGGGTGGCTGCGTTTTGTCAGCTTAACCTGCACCCTGTAAGATTTCTCCGATGCTCTGGAAGAAATAGCCATGTTTAAAGCACTTAAGTAGAAATTATTTCAGGCGCTTGCTCGTAATTTTAAAAAAACTTCGCAGCACCAGCATTCCATAAATGTTGGGATGGCTGAAGCAGGGTATTAAGAAATACTTATACAAGAAAACTGACAAAAGAAATGTACGAACTCGGCCCTAATACAATCAAGGCTTCTTATTAAAACTGAGGAAGATAGCTTAGCCTAAACCAACCATACTGACATGGAACAAGAGTATCTTTGCTAAGTCCTCCTTTCCAAAAAGAAACAGTAAAAGAAAAACAATTCCTCAAAGAATGTGAGAGCTCATCCTTTCTTCCCCATGCACACACCACCGCTACACAAAAGGCAAAATTTAGCACGTGTTGTTCATGTCTCTGCAGCAGCAAACAACAATTCTCACCTGCAACCTTTTGAAACAGTCACCTTTCAGACCTAACTTCCAGGCTTGGTCTCCAGACAACAGAAGGTTGAAGATGATTCAAAATAATAAATTTAACAGAGGTTTCTTTTTTAAATGGTGTGAATCAAAAAGGCTATAGTTCTCATAAACCAATTTTTCAGTTCTCCCACTGAAATGTTATCATAGCAACCATCCTCTTTCAAATTGCTTTAAAATGTTCAAGAGGTTGGGGGAGGGAGGGTATTTTTCTTTGGTTTTTTTTTAAGTTACACTCCTCTACATTGCAAAAAGCGTATTTTGTACACACATACCAGAAGCCACAGTCTCAGAAATATTATATAATGGTTTAAAGTACACAGACTTCCAGTGCACTGATGGCAATTTAGAGCAGAGGAAGACATGTCCCCAGTTTTAAAAATATTAAGTTCAGAGTACATGGAGATCAGGACAACTGGGAAACACATGCTTACATAGCATCCTTACGAGCACAATACGAAAGGACCTGAAAATTCTTCAAGTGTCTGAGAAGTCCCCTCTATGATACTAATAACCATCCTAAATTAAGCAAGCTGCAGAATTTGTTTTTGCTTTCATGAGGCATATTTGGCGGGTTTTAATCATGTCTGACAGTTCCACATAGTCCCTTAAAAAAAAATTAAAAGGGATTTAAATGAGAATATTACAGTTGCATGGCTAAGCAGTGAAAGGGTTGAGCTCTTGTGAATAAATATATATAAAATGGCTTTCAGTCCAATAATTGAACTATTTCTCAAATAATATATTAGGTCATGTGTATTTTGTAAAACTTCTAGTACTTGTGCAGGTAAAAGCAATACTGCATAATAGAGTGTATACCATTCCATAGGATACTGAGTCCATTTCTGCAAACTCCCACAGCACTGAAGCCAATGCCTGCATCATAAACTGGTGCGCATATATGTGTTTACCAAGACTGGGTCACAAATACAATGCTGAATAATAGCACAAATTAGCTGTCACACTGAGCATGTCTGGATTTTAGCAAAAGCTTTAATCCTTAAATTACTTCTTCATAGGCTGATTTCCTTAAATCCATGCAGATTCCCAGCAATTGCCACGTGAACACATCATTACGGAGCTGGAATCCATTTCATTTTTTCCATTAACTCCTTCTGTTCACTGCACATTTCTATTCACAAATACAAAGATCTGTGCCTACGTAGACAAGCAAAGGTTTTTCTGGTTAACAAATTCTTTCCCTTGCACTGCATCCAAACAAGTGGCTATTAATGAATGGGGAAAAAACCCAAACAACATTACATTGCCACTGATCAACTTTCAAAATACATACCTTCCAGAAGAGATTTTTGTCACCTTGTTGTCTGACCCTGGACAAGTCCCTTAATCTCTTTGTGCCTCAGTTTCCCATCTGTAAAATGGGGATAATAATGCTTACCACCATGGATAAGGCACTAGTTAAGTGCTAAGTATTTTAACTACTGACTCAAAGCTCAAAACCTCAAAAACTTAAAACTCAAAAAAACCGACAGTGAAGCAGCTTGATACTTATGCATGCATATTACATATGCAGTGAAAATGCACATGTAAGAATATATTGGAAGCGTTTTACAAATAGGTTTTATAATAAAAAACCTAAGAATTTGATAGAGAACACTGAATGGCTTATTATTTGAGAAACAGCACGTGAGCATAATAACTGAAGACTATCACAGTGGTTACAAATAGAAGGAAGTCTACGAATTGGTCTCATTTTCTAATTCTCAGCTCTCCCTTCATACCTAGCCATGCAATGACAATGCCAGTCTCAGTACCTCTGGAAAACTCGTCTTAAAACACAACTTGAAAACAACAGTAACTGACTAAAAAAGTTTTACTTATCCAAAGAGCTAGAAGGAACCCATTCACCCTGAATACAAGTGCAACAAAGATGCATAACACTACCAAGCATATGCGTACACTGTAAAAGAACACAAAAATATTTCCATTTAGATGGAAAAGCCATTTATAAACTCATGATGTAAGCAGAGCAAGATTAATCACACACGAAAAAGGAAGTTAGGAAGTGAGAACATTGAAGATAATTCAATATTCCCCTTTGAGGCAAGCCTTTTTTTTTAGGAGGAAGTCACAGAAAAACAAATTAAATTTGTCTGATAATGGAAAATTACTGCAAACTCATTTTATATCTCCACAGCCTAAAACCTTACAGTTAGAAACCTCATAGCTGGCATCAAAACCACCATCATAATTTTCTTCTTCCTTTCTCTCTCAGTTCCTTCCCCTTTTTCCTCTCTGCATCTTTGTCTTGGAGGAGAGAGAGCAAGATCTTTGAACATGAAACCTTCAGAGCTTTCTGCTGCAACTCCTGTATCACCCCAGTAAGTCAAACTTATAGCAGGACCAACAGTATTGCCTTTGTAGTAACCACTCCCTAAACATCAGTGCAGGAAGGCAAAGCTCAAGGAGTTACACAATTCTATGCCAAGATCTACAGCAAGGTAGCTACAGAAGTAGCCCAACTCTTAATATACTGGACAGCTAATGAGTAGCAGATACTTTCAGCATATCTGGAAGACAGACCACCTCAAGTCCCTAAACAGGAATTCAGAAATCTCACATTAGCAACTATGAAAAACATCGGCAAAGATAAAAGACAACGCAAAAAACCTCACCAGACAGAAGCTGACCTCAGAGCAGTACTCCACCTCCACAAAGTATGCGCATTTTAAAACCCAGGACAGAAAATACCTACAACCCAACACGTGCGACCTTACCTTAGGGAAGAAAAAAGCCTCCCAATGCAGGTCTGGACAGGAAGAAGAATAATCAGAACCGCCATTCCTGCAAGACATGATGGGCCTATCTCCATCCAGAGAAGTACTGTTACTGCTACAGCTTGAATTGGTCCAGCCCACAAGAAGTGCAAGAAAATCGTTACCTAGGCAAATAGTTAAGAAACAAAAATTAGGTTTTGGTCTTAGCTAAAAAATTAAATCCTAATAACACAAAGTTGAGGAAGCACCTTTGCCTACGGCAGATACTGAGGCATCCAGTGAGAATTCTGCACCAGATTCAGAGACCTAAATGTACACAGAGGTGCCTAACCTCCAGAAAGTAAGCAAATTACCACATTGATTTTGTTTTATCTTCATGCACCAACATTTCTCTGAGCTTAGGAAAATAGCAGGAAAATATTTAGGGGAGGAGGGGGGGGAAGTATGTTTTCCTCCCATATTTTAAGAGAATATTTCTCTTCCTATGATGTTCGAGAAACAACTAGAAGAAATGTTCATAAGAAACACTTAATCATCAGTTGTAAACAAAAACTTCTTAACTCTTAACTTCTTAACTAACTTAAACCCCACAATTTCTTCAGCCCCTTGGAAGGATCTGTAATACTTCTTACCTGATCAAATTTGTTCACATCATTTGACAGAAGATTTACTATTTGACCAGTGGTAGTTTTTGCCATTGCTACATTACTGAGACGAAGTGCCTAAAAAAGTCAGAACAGTCTCAAGTTGTCACAGCTTATAGAGCACAGTACACCTATACACAGAAGACTCAATAAAAAAATACAATACCAGGGCAGAAGCTGAAGGCACAGCTCAGCTTTTGCCTGAGAATATCTTGGCACACTTCAAGAACCTTAGATAACATGTGGGTTACGTTAAATATTCTGAAGAAAGTCCTGAAGAAGAGAGTATAAAAAAAAAGTCTAGACTGCAAGAATAAAAGTGCCATAACTATCTTCATGTCTGAAGTGATTAAAAATGGGAAAATACCAACTTAGCAAGTTATTAAAACAAAACAAAAGAGCCTGTAACTTTTCATTTGCTCTCCCCCCCATTATGAGCATCTGTGCATCAGAAACTCCACCTGAAGACCAAATTAAAATCAGGACAATGTTTGGCCAACTGAAAGAATTCTGTTTTGAACGAGATTCCTGACAGAAGACAAAAAAACCAAGTTATTCATTTTACACTATCAGTTCTTGTTAACACTGCAAACTGTGCTTTCTGTCTTTGCAAATCAGAGTTAATATCCCTTTACAAATTAATAAATATTTCCCTTGTTAATAACTCTTGTAAAATCATAAGATTTCTGAATTATATTAAATGAAGTTTACCACATGCTATGAAAAGCAACAAAAGTAAATCTCAAGTATTTTTATAGGTTAATAAATAAATTAATCAATTTAATGTGATTACAGACTACCCCCAAAAAAATCACATCTGGAAACATGCAGTCTGAACATTACTGCAAAGATCCAAACTGAAATAGCTCAAAGATGCAGATAACAGACCCTGCTTCCTTCTACACCTGCTAGAAATAAAACACAGTTTTGCAGCACAAGTGAAAAAATATACAAAACAGATTACACGTTTTCCTGTAACAGGAATAGTTCCCTCCTCAAAAACACTTCGCATTTTTAGGCGGTGCACATCTACCTCTCCCTCTCCGAACTATTATTATTAGGATTCCTTTTTGATCAATAATCTAACCTGAAAGGCACTAATTGTTTCAAAAATATTGTTCTGGTATTTTAAATCAGGTGCAAGAACATCAGACATCAAAGTACTATTCAAAGCACCATTTCAAACAAAGTGCCTTACATTTCTTGCACCTCACTGTTGGGTTACGAAGGTATTAATCACAGAAAGAATCTCAACTGAAACCAGCAGGCAGAAACATTTAAAACTCCACTCAGAAATTCCTCTGATATTTCAATAATAAATCTAGGATACTGGGTATATGAGAGATGAGATTTAATTATTTGAGAAAATCATTGCTTCGTTCCCTGTCTTAAGCCACTTGTCTCTCATACATCTGAAATCCCCCGCGAAGCTGCCTGCAGGTAATGCAGCCACAGCACATCCACGTTTCTATCACGTTTACTCCACACCACAGGCCAAGGTTGATAAGCTCCTAGAAAAGCTGTTAGATATCCATAGACCATAGTAATAGGAGTTTGAAGAAGTTGCCCACCAGGGTGTGTTTACAGCACCTACTGCTACTTACTTCTTTACGACGCAGAGGTATCTGCTATTGGAGGTCCACCTGAGCCACCCAGGAGAACACTGCACTGGTGTCTCGCTAGTGGCCCACGGCACCCGGGTCTGTCTCGGACCCGCCACCTGAGTCACCCTTCTGATCTCTTCCTAGCTATTTCAGACACAGGCAGTCAAAACAGTTTCAAAATATACTAGCCCAGCTCATTTTGACCAAGACAGTCTCAGGACTGGAGCTCTCAGAAGGAACCATGCAAGCATCCGAGCCAAAAGGAGGGTGCTCGTCTGTGACTGATTTGTCTTCTCAGGGAAGAGACAGCCGTTTCCAATGTCCAGTGGCAATGCAATTTTAGTCTTTTCTTCCCTTCCTGCTTCAAAACTACTTTTGCTTTTGGGGTTTTTTTTTGTTGTTGTTTTTGTTTGTTTGTTTGTGTTTGTTTTTTAAAGTGAAGTAAGCCATATATTTTCCCGGCTGAATGGACCTGTCTAGACTGCAAAGTATACAGAAGGAAATGGAAATATTGGACACAAAGCAGCAGTTTTACTTCTATAACCGATTTCTACTAAAAAGTCCCATTTTGGTACTTTTCCTTTCTACTACATCCGAAGCACAGCACCATATGAGCTGCTATGAAGAAAAGTAATTCTATCCCAGCCAAAGTCAGTACAGTGTGGCTTTAAATATTGCTTTGACCATAACATCTATAAAGTCACTCCGAAGGTAAGAAATACTACTGAAGATTATCTAGAGCCACACACCTTTTTAAAAGCAACTGTAGTTTGAATTTACATTTTTGTTTTACATTTGCCAATTATTTGTCCGTCTTCAGCACAAAGATCTGCTTGATTTTCTGTCTATAAACTTTCCGTACCGTTGTATTTCCCAGCAAGCACACTTTCTCAAGGAAAACAGGTTTTAATTATACAAACTAATAAGAGCAGTTTGTACACTTGATGTCTTAGGTTAAACTTTTTCCCCCACTAGATGTAATTGCACAGGCCCAATTTCAATTCTTTAACCGTTATTTGCCTTCTGTACTCCCATCTTAGTGTTTTAATCTCTCCCTGCCCCAAACAGTTAATTCAAAAGCACATTAAAAAGGGGGAACTGACCATAGAAAGGAATAATGTAACTGTTCAGTCAAATAACTCCTGACACCTTTTTGGCTGCTTTCTGTCTCCACCAACTACTCCATAGCTTAAACTGCTTTAGTGTTTATTCTGAACCTCAAAGAACTTCTAAAAGTTAAGTCTTAAAAAAAAAAAAAAAAAATCAGCCTCCTGTACGCAGCCTTTGGTTTTAAAACATGAGATTGTGAGTCATGAGACAGATTCCATTTTCATTTTTGTTGCAAGCTTCCTGCGTGCGTGCATCGCTAATACTTCTTACTGATCACAAAACATCTTGGAGTTTGAATAGAGGATTTTTGCAAATGAGATTTTAACTTTCCAGGAAATGAAAAAGGGTCTAAAACTTAAGAATTATGAGCATTTGAAGTTCTCTATTAAGGATGCTCTCTCATCCAACCCACTCATCCTTGCAAATCCAAGTTTTTCTTTACTAGAGCAATTAACGAACACCACAAAAGTGCTGGTAAATTAGCACCCAGATTCTTTCAAAAGCATATATGAGGATAAAGAGAAAGTATGACCCATCTATAAGCCTCAGATAATGAAGACAAATGATTAGAAAGGTTTATCAACGTTCTGCTGTGACCTCAGCCTTCCCCCTCAGGAGTAAACATTTACGAGATGAGAGGAGATTAATTTTCCATTTAATCACATCTCTAGAAATAAGGGTGAACATTTCTTTTCCAAGCTTCTAAGCTAATATCAACACAGCAACAAACAACATCGCTATATACATATTTCATGAATTTCAAACTGTGTTATGATAATCAGTTTAGTAAATTAATACCTTAGAGAGATGTTTATGTACAAGAAAGCAGTGTGCCGTGTTAGAGCCGAGTTCCCAGAGGATAATTTCCAAGGTATCAGAAGAGGGAGGAGAATAAGTACGTGCATGAAAAGTAATCAACACTTACAATGGGGCCGTTTTTACTCTCCTCACTTTACTGCTTTGCCCAAAGCCTTTGCATGACCTATACCAGTAGTACAGGTGTTTGCCTTCAGTGGATGGTACCTATGTTCAATCCTTAAAATAACATGGATTTCTTTACATTCTAAACAAACTTTACAGTCCTGATCCCTCAATTAAACTTCTCTGCTGAGGTAAGAACTGGTAGGTCACTATTCTAGCAGCCCTAAAAGTAGAAAGATAGGGCATTTTCCCCTCCACCATCCCCAGCAGGGACTTCCTGCTCGGAAGCCGAGATGGGCTCAACAGTTTGGCTGTTGCAAACAGCTTCAGAAGAGGGAAGCAGACATTTACAACTGGGTTGCTTGCTCCCCAGAGCACACCAAGGTCAGCATTTCATCCTGGATGTCGCTCAACTCCTTCCTGTAGGTAATATCCATAACTTCTCTTGTTCCACTTTCCATCTGAGAGTGGCCTCGGCTCCATCTGTAGTTGAGGACAGCTATTGCTTGATCAGGACTCACAGACAGCAAAGAAACCACAGCTTCCTGAATGTACATCCCTTCTCACACTTCATTGGCTTTAATGAAGGACTCCGGTGCTCCCACAGTAAAACCAGTAATTGGTACTAAAAAACAGCTCTACCCTACCTTTAGGATTCAGCTTGATTCTGAACCGTTTCTCCTCTGCCCACTCCTCTCTTTCTCCCCCCCTGCAAGTAGGAGGGATACCAAAGAGACCTGCCTGCGAAGACGCCAAGCATCCCCGTAGCCCAGCAGGGGCAGCAGCACCGCAGTACCACTGCCTCTCCCCGAGCCAACCCCAGGGACGCCCCGAGAGGGGGGCAGCCTCTCTGACCCTCAAAGCAGGCAACTCACTAGCTCTACAGCATCGCTGCAAGAAAATATAAATAAATTCCACCATTAACCACAACGGGGCCGGGGCCGGGGGGTGGAAATTGGACCACGAAGCCCGGCAGGGGCAGCAGCACCGCAGTACCACTGCCTCTCCCCGAGCCAACCCCAGGGACGCCCCGAGAGGGGGGCAGCCTCTCTGACCCTCAAAGCAGGCAACTCACTAGCTCTACAGCATCGCTGCAAGAAAATATAAATAAATTCCACCATTAACCACAACGGGGCCGGGGCCGGGGGGTGGAAATTGGACCACGAAGCAATTCCCAGGCAACTGAGAGTGCTGAGGCAGATGGTGACAGCCAAGCGTAACGTCCTCCCCCGGGATGAAACTGCAGGGCTGAGTAACTGCCAGCATCCCCTGGGAGCTCTGCCCCTCTCCTGCTGTATGCTCACGGCCTCTTACCGCTCCAGCACACAACCCTTCCACCAGCCATGGGGGGGCTCTTCTCTGACGGCACGAGCAGGCAAAAATCAGCAGCT